TAGGGCAGCGTGTGGCTCGCCGGGCAGTGGCGATGGTCTCTCCTGTCCCTGCCCCCCTTTTCCTGGAGCGTGGAGGGAGAAAAGGGGTTCACCGGTGGGGCAGGCACACTGCACCTTCACGAACTCCACAGCCAGTGGCCTCAGGGTGTCCTGGGATGCTGCCGTTCTATGGCGAATTGACTTGCACAGACTTGCCTCCTGGGCTGGTGGGGGTCTCTGAGGAGCTCTGAGGAGGGACAGCAGGACCCAGGGGATTGTCTCCAGTGAGGTGGCCCATGAGCTCATCATCGCCTCCCCACAGGCAACTTGGCCCAGAGCCTGGCTCCATGCCATGGGCCAGGGCCAGCTTCTGAGCCTCTCCTAACACTGACGGTGCTGGAAAGCCTGCGTCCCCTCTTTGCCCTGGCCCTCTCCCCTAGGCGTGTTTCCTGGCTGCAGACGGGCACAGCAAACTGACAGCTAAAAGGGCTGCTCTGCTTGGAAATGGTCCCTGGTCAAGGTGAAGGACAGCCTGGTGCTGCCAGAGGCTGCCGGGCGGCTGCAGGCACGCCCTCCTCCTTCCTTCCACACCCTGGGCACACAGAGTCTCATTCATACAGACAGGCCAGGTCATGACCACGTGAATGTCACGCTCAGTGCCTGGAAAATGGCAGAAGCTTCTTTCGCCCCCTGCAGAAACAACAGTCTGCAGTCAGGGCCTCGCCTCTTTCCGGAGTCCTCGCAGCTGCAGAACCATGGTCAGTCCTGAAGCTGGGATCCCATCAGGATCTCCCGAGGGTGGGGGCTGGGGGCACAGTGAGACCATGGCCAGGATGTCAACCACCCTTAGTCCCCATGGCGCTCTTTTAAAAGGTTATGTCAGCCTGGTCCTTGGGGTAATGGGGTTACCAAACCTCTAACGACCAGCTCTGGCTGACATAGCTAACTGATCAGACACAGACTTGGGTGGAAGTTGTCATGTCCAGGTCTGGTGAAGATGTAGAAAGACCTTGATGGCCGCCAGGGAGTAAGGACGTGGGGGCCGTGGTGCCCAGAGGCGGGAGGCGGAGCTGGGGATCCTGCAGCCCAGCAGCCCTCGCCTCTAACTGAACAGAAGGAGGCCACAGGGGAGGAACATGGTGGTTTCCTCCTGAGCCTCCACCGGGAGGTGAGGGGAAAGTCTTCAAGTAGGAGACTGCTACGATGAGGCAAAGATACAGATGAAAACAGACACAAGTGTAGGTGGCTTCTGAGCCTTGAATCACAGCAGGGAGTGCATCACTTCCTCCTCACTCAGACTTCAGCTGCTCCTAAATCTCGGTGACCCCCCCTCCAGATCAGTGCCTCCAGCCCATGCCTTCCTTGAGCTCCAGATTCATCTGTCCAACTGCTGCCTGGACATCTCCAGGTAGCTGTCTCAGGCACTGGGCACCCGGCTGGTCCAGAGCTGAATTCAAGGTCACCCAAGCCACAGGCCTGTGAAGCATCCTCTTCCTCGTCCTTATCTTCTAGAAATGGTGCAACACTAAGCCCAGTCAACATTAAGTCCTAAATATCTCACAAGTTCTACGGGTCCTGCCTCTGGGCCCTGGGTTTGAATCCTGCTCCGCCAGCTGATCACTGTATATAGTCTTGGGCAAGTGACCCTCTCTGTGCTTCTGTTTCCACACAGTAAAGTCAGGATAACAGGAGCACACGCCTCATAGGGTGGCTCTGGGGACTGAGTTTAGTACTTGTGAAGCATCTTCAACAGGGCCTACGCAGAGTGGGCACTAAATCAGCAATGGCTGTGCTCACCGTCTTGCGCCCCCTCACCCAGCACTCCCCACTCCAGGCCGCTCTCCTCCAGAGGCCCCTTGCTCCGACTTGCAGGCTTGCATGTCACTTTCTGCTTACAGGCCAGCTCCCTTGATGATGGCATAAGCTCAGGGCGGCATTCAAGGCTCCCTTTCAGGCCCCCTCCACATCCACATGCCCAGCACTCTGGGCACATGCCTCGTCCTTCTCTGACCCGCCATGCTTCATGCCCCCATGGCGCCTTCTGCCTGGATTCCACATCACAGTGGAATTCCCTCTTCCACTGGCAGTGAGCCCCTGGGGTGGCTGAAGCTGATATGGGAGCGTTAATTCCCAGAAACACCCTGTGAGGCAAGTCCTCTTTTTGCCTCATTTTATGGGCAGGAACCGAAGCTCCGTGATTCTCAAGATCAGCTAGTAGTGGAGCTGGGATTAAATTCAGGTGTGGCTGTCCCCAAAGTCCATGTGGTTCCGTTGACTTCACACAAACCTCTCATGTCATTGAAGAGGAAAAGACAGAGGTTCCCAGGAGGGAAAGGTTATTCACAGGACGTAGGGACAACTACCGCAGTACAGAGTCTAAGTGGTGGGTTTGTAATGTGTCGATTTAGCTAAGCTGGAACACGTTTCCAGAATTAGTGAATTTCAGCCCATCCCAAGAGAAAGTTGTCAGAGTTGCAAGGGGAAGCAAAGTGGCAGCCACATGTACGCTGGGAAGGTCGACACGAGGGTTGCTGCAGACGTGCTGGTTCGCCTTGCTGTCAGGGGAACCCAATCCCCCGCACCTCCTCCTTCAGCTTCTCCAAATCCGGGCTCAGCCTGGGGAACTCAGTGGTGAACTGTGCTGTCCTGTGGTTGGCCACATCCTGGAAGGTGGAGGCTGGGAGGCGGGGAGGGCAGTGCGGGCTGCAGATCGTCTCTGTGGGTCCCAGCTCTTCCTCATGTAGAGTGTCCTCAGGTGGGGGGCTCCCACGTCAAGTCTATCTTCCCTCCCCTGTCCCCTGAGGCCCAGCACCAAAGGCCGCTTACCCAGCTCCCACAGCATGTAAGGGCCGACCCCTCTAGTAACACCAGCGTGTCACTCTGCGGCTCTGTTCCCTGGATCAACCCCTAAGGGGCACAGAGCATGAGTTCAATGTTGGATGAATGCATCAAGTGGCTGAATAAATGAATATTTTGGTTGCTTATGCTTTAAGTTTCAGAAGAACTAGAACGAGGTGAACTCATTCTTTCCAACCTTTCCTAAAGGATAAATCAATGTGCATTACAACACGTTCTCCCAAAGGGCCCCTATGATCACAGCTTTTTAAACTAACATAGATGGCTCGCAGTGCAGTGATTGAATGACAATTGATACTGAATTAATTGATGGTAAAGGGATCGTGACTTTTTGTGTGGCTTTGTGACTTTATTTTCGGGAATTGGTAATTGAACATCCTGCACCTAGATGAGGAACTAGGTGACCCCGACAGGAATCGGTTCCATCAGGAACCGCCACGTGGTGGCCCCGTGGCGCTGGGCTGCTGAGGAATGTGCGATGGGGGAACAGCTGGCTGAGCAACCGCTCCTATCAGGAAGTCTAAGCTAATATTATGTCTACCTGAAAAAGCAAGCCAAGGAAACAAAAGCAGTTTCAGAATTAGTCTGAACTTTATACCCACGTGGAGTCAAGGCATTGCTCAAAGTGATGGAGAAATTCGGGATCAAGTGCCCGATCCTACACACTGGTCTAATTGATCTTCCAAACACCAGACAACCAAGTGGAGCAAACTTAGACATCTTTCTGCCGAGTTACCCTTCAGCACTGGAATCCAGGCTCCTGTCTTTCCTTGGGGGCCATGATGAAGGAAGTGTCTGCCCCGGGGTGAGAGCTGAGGAGCAGGCCTGGCGGCAGGTGGCCTGGATGTGCAGCCTGGTTTCCAGACATGGACTCTGGGGTCAGACCTGCCCTTAAACCCCGGCGCTGCTGCCAGCTGTTTGATCCGGACAAGTTACCCACCTTTCTGTGATTCGGTGTCCTCCGTAAAGTGGAGACTGATGCCGCTGGATGGGTCGTCTGCGGAGGCCCGGTGCGGGCCAGGCTCACCATTTTGTTTTACTTGTTTTCATTATGGTGGTTACGTAATAGCACTTTCCATGTTTCAAAACCAAAATTATGTCGTTGTTCACTTCAATCTTTTCAATCTTCTTAGGAAGACCATGTCTACCTTTTCAAGGTCTCTCTGTTTCAGACATTTATGCAACTATAGGCCCTCCCACAATATCCCAAACCTTCCTGAAAGAACATGGATGAAAAGATGGTGATTCTTCACACTGTACGTACAATAGTCTTTTGGATAAAACAGAAAAAAGTAAAAGATGTAAAATCTTAATCTCTTCTAATATAGTAGATTAGAAAGATCTGTAAATCTATTTTGAAACAACTATCTTTTCATATTAAAAAGAATTCTAGTGATTTTTCAATTTCATTTTCCTTCAGATTATTACAATCACTTTCAGGTCTTGTGTAATTTCCAGAGCGCTCTATGGCTCCGAGCAGCTGCGTCCCATACAGACAAACCAGTGTGGGTGGCGACAGGCTTTGGACGGCTACCCGCCCTCCCCAGAGCCCTCCAAGGACGAGACCCCGTGGAGGCTGGCAGCCAAGAACAGTTGTGCAAGGGCCGTGTGCCACTCGGCGTTTTCTCCAAGGGCAATCCTAACACTTGGGCAGACGCCTGGCTTTAGGCGAGAGCCTCGTCCAAGAACATTATGATCTCAACCCCTGCTGGCTTCACTCTAGGATCTTAACACCCCCCGGGGGCCTTCGAGGTCGTGGTGGGGGAGGGCACAAAGCAGTTCCCGACACCCTGGACCTTCCTGAGCTCACAGCCTTGAGGATGAAAGGGGCAGAAGAGCAGGAGTTTGGCCTCAGGCCACTGTGGGTTTGCATCCTGGGTCTAGCCCACACTGTCTGGGAGAGTTAAACTGGGATAGCCTCAGTTATCTCAAATATAAAACAAGAATGACCTGGGCCGTAGTGAGGCATCAGTAAGGTGATGTGTATATTTGGTGCCTGCCAGGGAGCAGCACTTGGACAGCAGAGCGCACGGAGAAGTCAGCATGGAGCTCTGGGCAGCCTGACCCCAGAGGCTCCACACCGACCCTTCGCCTGAGGCCTTCCCTGTTTGGAGAGGTGACAAGAGCACAGACATGGGACACGCAGAGGAATGAGACCCACCAGAGTATGTGGCACCTTTTTATTTAGTCAGTCTCTATTTCAATGTGTGCTTTTGAAATAGCTTATTAAATACGACCTTTTCCGAATTCAATTCTCACAATATTTACAGTGAATTTTGTGCAAACATATTTTGACTGTGAGCTTCTTGCTCCCCCCTCATGTTAATAGTTTACAAATTTGTATCACAACAAAACCCCAGCTACTTCATTTATTGCCTCTCAGCCTCTAGTTTTCTGTGTGCAGGGACTAAACTAGGATAAGGGGTTGCTAGGAACGAGCTAATTCAAGCCCAGAGGAAATAAAATATGTTTTATTTATTAAAAAAGAATTATAACAGGCCTTGATTTCCAATAGAAAACATGTGTCCCATGATGTTGTGGAACAGTTTTAAGGAACTAAACAAATTTCTAGTGGTTACTGCGCCTTCGTTTTTTAATATTTACACTCTTCTCTTTTAATCAAATAAGCAAAACCAGAAAAGTCAAATTCTAAGAGACTCTGGACTGTCAGGGAATGTTATAAAAAGAATCTGACTTCAGTGGCTGAAGAATGAAGATCATCAGATGGGCTGTTGGCTGACACCCCATGCCAGCCCTGGCTAGAGCTGCCACGAGAAGGTCCCACAGGTCCCACAGGTCCCATACCATCTCTCTTGGGATTCACGTGGGCACAGAAAACATGACCCTGTGCCCCAGTCAAGAAGGATGAAGCCCTGCCAGGTAATTCTTCAGATGCAAAATTTACAGAGGGCACTGAGCCTGGAGAGGGGTCTTTCCTTCTCTGAGTGGAGACATGTCGGACTGAAGAACACAGCACCCAATCCTGTACAGAGGGGGGGTCCTTATGGAAGGCAACAGCTCATGATTTGGAAACAGAATTTTGAAAAAATACAGATTAATAACTGCACCTTTAATGTCTTGTAAATATAGCTTTAAAATTCCATTTTATACACGATGTCTGAACAAATCATGACTTCTGTTGTTGTGGTTCTATGCCTTTTTTAAAGCCCTCAGATTAACTCCTTAATCATCCTAGTATGCAAGACAATACTTGGGACCAAAGTTTTATAGGTTTTCTACCTTTTCACTGAAGACTTTGATGGAAAATTAAAGTGAGAGCTAATTAGAAAATAAACTGAAAAACAGTGTTAGTTGTTTGAGAATTTCTCCATGCATTTCATCATTTGCCCTTCCAGCAGCAATGTTCTCTTATATATAAAAGTGGTCTAAAGACCTGTGCAACCCTCTGGACCTGTGGTGGTGTACATGCTGGGCGTCCCAACGTAATGATTCCTACTCTAAAATGCACTTTCACCACCACAAAGTCTTCCCCATGATGATAATTATGAATGAAATATCCCACACAGTCTCTAACCCTAGAGAAGGCAGTGTGAAACAGCAGTGACTACAGCTGGAGCTACGGTTCTTAACCACTATCTGTTCCAAGTTCTCAAGTGAGCACGTCATACACCTCTACGCCCCTGTGACCCCTGCTAATCCATCTTATTTGTACTTGGTTCCATGCTAACCCAACTGCAGGTTGGAGCTGCGTCTGCGGGTGCATGTGCGTGTGTGCGCGTGCGTGCACGCACCATGAGTCAGGCGTGCTGAGGAGATCTGCTGGGATGGAATGTGGGACAGTCAGCAGAAAGGAGGGCTGAGCGGGAGGTGGGCATTGACTCCCTAGGAAGTTGGGAACCACCAAGTACAGTCAAAAGATAAGCAGGGAACAAGAATGTGTAATGACTGAAAACAGGAACCTTATTTGCTCAGATCTTCCAGTGCCTCGAGAAATCTAAGTGCAGACAGGCAAGATGGGTTCGCAGCTCTTGCCCCAGTGCCCAGCTCTCCTCTGAGAACTTAACCCTCTTTGAGGACGCAGTGACGTCCATCATTTGGGCTCCTACTTGGTGGCTCACGGGGACTGAAGGCTCAGGTCTGCAAGCCCACAGCCCTGTTGCCTTTGGTCAACAAAAGGTTAAAACTGCTTTTCTCCATGTCTAACACAATGGCTCTGATTTCACATAAATAATCACAGACTTGATTTAAGTGAATATATTATTCTAGGTTAATTATTTTTTCATTCAAATGTTTATATTCCATCTACCTTGAGCAATGAATTGAGAAAAAATAGGCACCTCCAAAGCCTTCCTCAGAACAATTCCTTTGTGAAATGACACTTGTACAAACTGAACAGATGAGACGGTGACAGTGGCAGGGACTGGGTGAGACCTTCAAGGGGCTGTTTTCTTCAAGTCACGAATCTGTTTGATCAAGTAGTTCTTCTCATCGGTGAACTGCTCATCGTCCGTCCTTTCTTTTTGGAAGCTGCTCAGAAACTCAATGAGTTTGGGTTGATTTTTTAATAGAATCTCCACAATAGGCTGAGTTTTGTGAGGACTGGCCACAAATACCTGAAACATAAGAAACAAACACCTGGCACAAGGAACACACGCCAGGGACAACGTGGACCCCACTCGTGTTTCACGTGTTACTTGTATGAAAGCCCGGGATTAAACTTCCTTATGGAGGAAAATCACTAATTCCTCACCCATATCTACTTCCTTGGTAGCGAGCCAGAAGCACATCAGAGCTATCTATAAATATTTTTCACTGTTACTTTGCTTTAATTTCAAATATGTATGTGTTTTTAACTATACAATCTTTCAAACAGAAAATAACATAACAGACACCAATATACTCACCCAAAAATTAAACAGATTTTGCCATTTTGCTTCAAATCTCTCTTTCTAAAGAATTAAGACATTACAAAGAGAGCCAAAGTCTGACCCTCCATCTCTCCCCGCTCCCCTGAGCAGCGTGCTACCATCCCAGGCACATTTTTATCCTTTCCCTCCTCCTACATATATATGTAAACATAAACAACACATAGTATTTGATTGTGCTTACTTTTTTATAATTTATTTTTTTGAACAGGTAGCATATTCATCTGGCTCAAAATTCTAAAAGGACAAAGGTGCCTCTCCCCGGAGGGCACCAATGTTTTCTTCTCTTATATATGTGGAGCTTTAAAATTTACAATCGCCCAGGCCCCACTTCCCAGAGATTCCAACTCAGCAGGTCTGGGGTAGAGGTTGGGCATTCTGTATCTGTATGAAGCTCCACAAAGATCCTAGTTGAAACCACAAGCCTGGATTAATAACTCAGCTACACTATAAAAGACAGCAACAACTATAATAATAGGACACTAACTCAAAACTATAATACTGACTGGTGTAATATTCTGCAGTGGACACACTACCTAGTTAGATGTGACACATACGATAACATGACCAGAATACAGATAAAAGTATCTGCTTCATCTTACACCATACACAAAAATTAACTCAAAATGGGTTAAAGACTTGAATGTAAGACCTGAAACCATAAATCTTCTAGAAGAAAACATAGGTAGTACACTCTTTGACATTGGTCTTAGCAGCATATTTTCAAATACTATGTCTGACCAGGCAAAGGAAACAATAGAAAAAAATAACCAAAGGGACTATATCAAACTAAAAAGCTTCTAAACAGCAAAGGAAACCATCAACAAAATGAAAAGACAACCTAACAATTGGAAGAATATATTTGCAAACTATATATCTGATAAAGGGTTAATATCCAAAATATATAAAGAACTCATACATCTCAACAACAATGAAACAAAAAATCCAATTAAAAAATGGGCAAAAGATATGAACAAAGATTGTTTCCAAAGAAGATAGATAGATGGCCAACAGGCACATGAAAAGATATTTGACATCACTATTATTACGGAAATGCAATCAAAACTACAATGAGATATCACCTCATACCCATCAGAATGGCTATAATAAACATGACAGGAAATAACAAGTGCTGGAGAGGATGTGGAGAAAAGGGAATTCTCATACACTGCTGGTGGGAGTGCAAAATGGTGCAGCCACTATGGAAAACAGTATGGAGATTCCTCAGAAAATTAAGAATAGAACTACCATATGATCCAGCTGCTCCACTGCTGGACATTCATCCAAGAACATGAAAACATGAATGCATAAAGATATATGCACCCCTATGTTCATTGCAGCATTATTCAAAATAGCCAAAACTTGGAAACAACCTAAGTGTCCATCAAGGGACAAATGGATAAAGAAGATGTGGTAAACATACACAATGGAATACAACTCAGCCATAAAAAAGATGAAATCTTGCCATTTGCGACAACAGCTGGACCTTGAGAGTATTATGCTAAGGGAAATAAGTGAGAGGAAGAAAGTCAAATATCATATGATCTCACTCATAAGTAGAAGATAACAACAACAACAACAAAGAAACACAGAGACAGAGATTAGACTGGTGGCTATCAGAGGGGAAGGGGAGAGGGAGGAGAGCAAAAGGGGTGACTGGGCACATGAGTATGGAAATGGATGGTAGTTAGTCTTTGGGTGGTGAACATGATGTAATCTACACAGAAATCAAAATGTAATGATGTACACCTGAAATTTATATAATGGTATAAACCAATGTTACCTCAATAAAAAAAAAAAAGATTCAGAAGAACAAAACAAAGCAAAAAAACAAAAAAAGGTATCTGACTGCTATATAGTTCCTGGGCTCCTGACTCCTCAAAAGGGCTGGGTGTTTACCACCACCAGCCCCTCCACCCACTGCCTCCCCATCCCCTACTTCCAATAGTGCACAACTCTAGACTGAACACATTATGGACAAGGATCACTTATGCGGACAGTGAGGGCGACAAGGTTGAGCCCTCAACGTTCCTCCAGCCCAGCAAGAAAGAGAAGGAGAAAACTACACAAGAATGTTAAGGACCTCTGGGAGGGGAATGAAAGGCTGTGAAGGGTCAAAGGAGGTGGAGATAACATTAGATTTCTGAGTTTGGAACAAGAAGGGCTCATGGTGGAGGAGACATGAGAGCTAGTCTATGAATCAGATTTTCTATTTCTTCTTGAGTCAGTTTGGTAGTTTGTGTATTCCTAGGGATTTGTCCATTTCATCTAGGTTATCTAATTTGTTGATATACAATTATTCGTAGTATTCTCTCATAATCTTGTTTTTATTACTCTAAGGAGACTGAAGTGGTAATCAAAAACCTCCCAACAAAGAAAAGCCCAAGACCAGATGACTTCACTGATAAATTCTACAAACTTTTAAAGAATTAACACCAATCCTTTTCAAATTCCTCCAAAAAATAAGGGAATGGAACACTTTCTAACTCATTCTATGAGGCCAGCATTACACTGATACTGAAGCCAGACAAAGATATCACAAGATAACTACAGACAAACATCCTTTATGAATGAAGATGCAAAAATACTCAACAAAATACAAGCAAACTGAGTCCAGCATCATATTAATAGGCTTATATGCCATGACTAAGCGGGATTTGTTCCAGAAATACAAGGGTGGTTCAACATAATAAAATCAATCAATGTAATACACCACATGTACTGGGTTGAATTGTGTCTCCCCAAAAGATGAACATTCAAGTCCTAATGTTTGGTACCCGTGAATGTGACTTCATTTGGAAATAGAGGCTTTATGGATGCAATGAAATTAGGACGAGGACATACTGGATGAGGATCAGCCTTAATCCAATGACTAGTACCCTTATAAGAAGATTGAAATTTGGACATAGAGAAGACATGCAAAGGAAAATGCCATGTGAAGAAAGAGACAGAGATTGGAGTTACGTACCTATAAGCCAAAGAATGCCAAGGATTGCTGGCAACCACCAGAAGGAGGAGAATGGCATAGGACAGATTCTCCCTGAAAGCTTCCCAAAGGAACCAACCCTCTGATACCTTGATCTTGGACTTCTAGTCTCTATAACTGTAAGAAAATAACTTTCTGTTGTTTTAAGCCACTCAGTCTATGGTACTTTGTTATGGCAGCTGTAGGAAACTAACATATTACATTATTACAATGAAGGAAAACCACATGATCATTTCAGTTGATGTACAAAAAGTATGTGACAAAATCCAACATCTTTTCATGATAAAAACACTCAATATGTGACAACCTGATATTCACATGCAAAAGAATGAAGCTGGAATCTTACCTCACACCATAAACAAAAATTAACTCAAAATTGATCAAAGATCTAAATATAAGGGCTAAGGAGACTTTTAAAGGAAAATACAGGGGTACATCTTCAAGACTGGATTTGGCAAGCATTTCTTAGCTATGACACAAAAAACATGAGCAACAAAAGAAAATGCAGATAAAATGAACATCAAAATTGAAAACTTTTTTGTATCAAGAGAGTGAAGACAGATGTCAGCATCATGGCAGAATAAGTTGTTCCCTTTGTCTCTCCCTTCTAAGTTACAACTAAATGTATATCCATTAATAACAGAGGATTCCCTACACAGCACAACAGGACAGCTGAGAGATCCATGCATCTATACATCTAAAGGTGGACTGAACCCCCAGGAAGCAGTGAAACTAGGGGGCAGCCCCTGGCCCCTCCCCCTCCCTGGTGTCAGTGATCCAGGTTGCAGATCCTCACACAGTGGCCAATGCAAATGCTTGTGGAGCAGCAGTAGCCTGGCCTGCAGGAGCACCCACTGTGCCACACTGGCCCTGCCTGTGTGAATGATCCCTGTTGAGTGGTGGTGGTTCAGTCTATGTGAAGGCACCCCATCAGAGCAGTGGACCTGCTATCAGAGAGCAGCAGCAGCCCAGCCCATGTGAAGCCCACAAGAATGCAGAGCAGCCCAACCAGCACAACTATGAGCAGATGGAGTGAGAACAGGAGAAACAGCCCTGTCCCCGCTCAGCGACTGCAGGTGGAAGCTACAACCAGAAGCAACAGGAACCATAGCAGAACCAATGAACTAGCCCCCAATGGCTGCAACCCTGACACCAGCTCCACAAGCAGTGGGGCCTGTATACAAGTCCCTGGGTCCCTAGGCCCCCATCAGTGACAGTCACACCCATGAAGTAAGCACCCCTGGCAGCGGTGCAACCAGCACCCCAAGACAACTTGGGAACAACAGCACAGGTGGTGCATGGGACAGCAGCATCTGAGCCTGTGGAGAGCCAGTGGAGGAACACAAGACCCAGGTGACCAGAACCAAAGTAACCAAGGTGGTACCCAGAAAAGAAAAGGTGATTACTACCACAAATGCGCCAGCAGAGGATCAATTCATCAAACACCATGAAGAACTACAGCAACACTGCAGAGTAGAAGGAAAATGACAATTCTCCAGAAACCAAACCTTAAGTCACAGAAGATTACAATTAAACTGACAGAAAATTCAAAATCGAGGTCATAAAGAAACTCAACGAGTTACAAGAAAACTCAGAAAGACAGTTCAATGAGCTCAAGAATGAAATTAATGAACAGAAGGAATACTTCACCAAAGAGAAAAAAATACTCTAAAAAAAAAACCAAATGGAAATTCTGGATATG